TTGAAACAAAACAGCTTCGTGTTGTTGAAATTTTATTTAAAAAACTTCTAACTGCAAAATGGGGTGTAATCTTCAACCGTACATGTTTATCTGAGAACCTCATACCAAATTATATATATATGTATGTATATTAGTTAATGTTAATTAAATAATGCGCAATGATAAAATTTGTAAAAATTGTATAAAATAATATTAAAGGTTAAGACCGTTATGCTCATTGTAAAGTTAAGTGCAGGACGGTGAAATATATTTAATTAGCATCATAGCTTGTTCCTGTCACAGTAAATGTTATACGATAATCTTATAACAGTGTTTATCAATTTTTCATTAAATGATAGCGCCATGGAACTGAACTTTAAACAGTGACAAATTAAAATTATTGTAAAAACCAATAGGCGTTTTTTCGAATGAGTTTATGACTAGTGAACAATGTTTATAGTCTTTATTTAAACAACAATGCAAATTATTAGAGTATTTATTTCTCTTGTATTGCCTGGAGGATTCTAGATTGGTTTCATGGCACACAGTTAATTCTAGAATCTCAATTTTGTTATTTTGAAGTATGGTGATATCGGGTCGTAAAGCGTTGAATAATTGAGATATTGGGCGAATACCCTCAGACTCTAAATCTGCAAATATGCGGCAATTGGCTTGAGCGGATATGTCACACTGATGTCACACTGCTAATTAAACTTTGGCGTAAATATTCGGTCCAATCAATTTTAACTAAACATAAATTGAAAGAATTGTAAAAGCCTATGGGCGATAATTCAAAAGAATTTATTAAATTAGTATAATGATTAAAATTGTTCAACAGGTTGTTTTTGAGATTGCTTGTATATTTGTCGAGTTTGTATTGCCTGGACTTGACAAAGTTTGTTTCGTGGCAAATAGTTAGTTCAAGTATTTCGATCGTATTGTTGCTGAAAATGGCGATGTCTGGTCTAAGCGATCTGAATAGCTCTGATAGTGGACGTGTCGCATCATCCTCTACATCCGCGAAGATGGCGATATTCGGACCAGCACATGCTTTGATATTGTTGATGATTATTGAGAGAACTTTGTTGTGGCGATTTAAGTATAGTTTGAGTGCTGCTGTTGAGCTACAATTTGAGAACACGTGTTTATTAGTTTGTCTCACGTTGCAAAGAGGGCATAATGCATTGGTTGTTTTGCTCCATCTTTGAAGGTTAGCGTTTGTAGGCAGTTGTTGTGTAATATATTTTCTTATAAATTTATAAAAAACTTCGGATAGTTTTACTGTTGATTTAAACCATCGTGCAATCTCTGAGTTGTGGATATTTTCATTTACTGATTTGACCAGAGCTCCTTGACACTGCAGTATCGACAGGTGGTTCAAGTCCCTCTGATGATGTTGTCGTTTGAGAGCTTCGAGTGCCTGCTTAATATCAACATTCTCCGGAATGAGATTGTCAACCTTTCTGTTGTTACATGTTTCGTTCCAGAGAGATTTTATTTCATCGCTTGCGTTTCGTTTAAAGTAACCACGAAGTTTCATCCTCGCTATTTCAGCATGGCACTTTAGCGATTTTACGTTGAGGCCTCCAGATTTGTAGGACAGAGATAACATTTCTACGACGCAGCTGCTTACAGGCATGGTCAGCCAATCTCTCACGGTCTCTGTTATCAGACAGTCTAATGTATTTTCTATCCATGTCAATGAAATGTCGTACATACGAAGTTCAAATATTAATTGGGATGGAACAAATCGTCTTAAAATTTCAAGTTTCCACTAGACGGATGTATCCAATTCATCAATCGTATGTAGTATTTGTTTTAGTTTATTATGTAGTAACTCCATTTCTTTTGCGTTCCTACAATCGAAATCATAAATTTTTCCCAAGTATGTGAAATGATCGTTGATGTTGATCTGAGGAATCGTCTCGTTTTCAATTGTTAATTTTGGTAAAAATTGTTCATATCTTCCGTCAATTTTTCGCATCCCAAATGTACAACATTTGTCTATTTTCATCCTCATACCCGTCGATCGGCACCAAGCTAGATTGAGATCAATCAGTTTTTGGGCTCCCTCTGTGCTGTTTGCAATGATTGCTGAATCGTCAGCAAATTGGAGCCAAGCTCGTGACTTCAGGCTAGCTGTCGGTCCCCAAATGTATCCGATTGTTGGTAATATTTTTGCTGTAATACTTCCATTAGAGGATTGAAGCATAAGTTGAAAAGCAAGGGGGAGCTGGGATCGCCCTGCAGTACTCCACGTTTCACCAGAATGGGTGGAGTTAAATTATTACACACAGATACAGTAATGGAGTAATTAGCATATATTGATCTAATCAAATTGCTCACTTGGTCTGAGATATGGTGGTGTTGAAGGACTGATGAAATGAGATCATGACTAATTTCACCAAACGCATTCCTTAAGTTCAGAAGAGTAACAATGATAGTTCTCTGGTGCTTCTTTGCGTCCCTCAGTAGATGTGACAGTAAATGGGTGTGTTCAGCTACACCGTCTACTTTTGGGTAGAAACCTTTTTGGATTGTTTTGTTGATGATGTTATTAATTTCGAGATATTTGTATAATCTATTGTTGACAAATGTTGAAAATATTTTATAGAGAACTGGTTGAAACGTTATTGGTCGGAAGTTTGCTGGATCGCTGGCGTCACCTTTTTTGTGAATCAATATCGTAAGGCCCCTTCTCCAGCGTGAAGAAGCCTTGAAGAATTTTTCACATTTTGTAACGTTGAACAAAGGTAGCGAACTATTTGATGGTTAACAGTTATACAAGTAGGCCAAAGTTTTTGTTGCAATCGATTGGTAATATCTGAGTTCTTCCTACATTTTTGCGCTTTCACGGCCGATAGCTTTAATCTTATTTTTTTACTAAGCGCTTTGGTTTGCAAGTCATAGTTGTGATTGTTTCGGCCCAGGACTTTGAGTTGTTTCAGCTCCTTTTTTAATTTGTTGATTGACTTGTTCTGATAAACAGATGAAATTGTTTTTGTTTCCAACGTGCCATAGTTTGAAGCAAAGTAGTCGTATATTAGTGATTGAAGACTGTTGGTAAAGTTGTCGATGTTGTTGACATTGGGTAGATTTGCCCTCTGCGAATGGAAGTACGCGTTTGCCTCCGCCCATTGTTTTGCAGTTTCGGGCAGTTTTAAACCAGGAAGGGGTGTTTCTACCTTGTCAATATTCGGTGTTATTGAGGGTGGGACAAGTGATTGCCGCTGTGGAGAAAGTAACTCCGAGTTGGAACCATCATCTGGGTTGTTTGCTGTACTATCCGAATTTGGAAAATTTTTAAATATTTTGCACACACGTTGGTGCATCCGTAGACCCTTTCTGCCTTTACAGCTTCTACCACAGCAACAAACAATTGATTTATTGTCAATATTAATTGAATTATTATTATTACTATTTGAGTTATTAACTAAAATATTTGGAGATATATTAATATTATCCTTTGGAGATAAACGTGTGCAAATGTTATTGTTGACTAACGTAGTCTTTGAGTGTCTATTAACATTTATAAAATCTTTAAAACAATATGGACACTTACTTGAATTAATTGTTAAAATTGAGTTTAAAATCAAAAATAAAATAATTTAAAATTTAAAATTTAAACTATTTAAAAAATTATTGACTGCCATAATTTTATGCCAATTTAGAATCAATTTTCAAACTATTAAAACTCAATAAAACAGATTAAAATATATAAAAAAAAGTGAGCAAGCAAAAATCTGCCAACTCTCATGTTTCAACGTATAATAATAATAATATTAATAATAATAATAATAATAATAATAATAATAATAATAATAATAATAATGAGAACTCTTTTATTTCTTCGAAAGCAAAATTATGAATGAAAATTACAATTAAATAAAAAATGATCAAATATTATAATAGTTGAAAGATTAAAATAATGGATAATTTAATACCTATGATGATGATCTGTATATTGCTTTATTATTACTTATCAAATTAAATTTTTTTTTCAAATATTTTATTAAAAAAATTGATTGCAATAATAATGATAATATAATAATACTAATTATGAAAAATGAAATGATTAATTAAATTTTGTGATGGAAGAAATCACAAAACCGATACGCACTGGTGACATTTGGAATCTAGTATATGCTGATGATATCGTTTTAACAGCCACGTCTGAGCAGAATGCAGCACAGATGTTTGAAGATTGGAACACCAGATCATGGATTCAAAGTCAACATCAGCAAAACCAAAGCAATGAACACTGGTGAACCAATCCAATCCACAGCTACTGGACGATGGCCCTGTTCAGTTTGTAAAGCTGGTGTAGGTAACAATTCAATCAAGTGTCGGCAGTGTAACCAGTGGTGTCCAATTTAGTTTGTCCTGCTTGCATCAATCCACAACAACAAATTCAAAATAGCACTGTTTTTGAAGCCATTAAAATATAGAAAGTCACATCGTTTCAATATCTAGGGGATGTTCTGGATTGTACTGGAACAGCTGAAGCTGCCGTTCGAGCACGCATACGTGCAGCCTGGAATAAACGGCATCTCCTTGCCTCTATATTGATGCGGCGTGACATCACACTACCACTACGATCAAGACTTCTTAAATCTGTGATACGTCCGGTGTTGTTATATGGTGCAGAAACATGGCCAATGACAACCAAACTGGAACAACAACTTCAACGAACCGACATGAAAATGCTCCGATGGATGCAACAAATTATTCTGAAGGACCACATCAAATCCACCGAAATCCTGCGTCGTGCTGGTTTAGATGATATAAAAGACGAATGCCGGCAACACCGTCTGCGGTGGTTTGGTCATGTCAAACGAAGTGGAAACTGTACCATAACTTCTCTTGCAGATGTTGAAGTACCTGGCACACGTCCCAAAGGCCGTCCAAAGAAGTCCTGGTCGCAAACAATCGAGCAAGACATGAAAGCTCTAAATTTAAATGAAATGGATACAACTGATTGTCTAATTTGGCGCAAAAAGTTGATGGCAAAGAAAACAACGTCCTACCTCGAGAAACCGGGTCTCTGGACGCAAAACTAAGATTGATTGAAATGATATAATAATCACCATAATCTACGAAGCTCATCAATAATTAAAAAGAATTTAATAATTAAATAAATGATATAATAATCACCATAATCTACAAAGCTCATCAATAATTAAAAAAAGTACAACTAGATAGAGTTAGTTTTAAAATTGATTCAAATGACATTTCTGTCACAATATAAAAAATATGTTGATGATATTGCTGAGTTAATGAGACTGTTACAGAATTTATCACACCACAGAATATCGACGAGCGATAAATTAAAAAATTTAAATAAACCTAATGGAGGTATTGATTATTAATTTAGACTGTTTAAAATTGTCTAACAGATTATGGTGGAGATGATGAGAATATTTTGCCAATTTATAGTCTTTTGATTTTAAGAAGTTTGTTTCATGGCAAACGGTTAATTCAAACACTTCAATTGTGTTGTTCCGAAGAAGAGCAATGTCTAGGCGTAACGTCTTGAAGAGACAAGATAATGGTTTGATATTTGTCTTGCTCGGCATCCGCATAGATGAAGACTTCTGAGTTTGCGCATGACTTCAACTTTTCCAAAATTATTAATAAAATTTTGTTGTGACGTGTCGTATATCTTTTTAACGCTGCTTCCGAGCTGCAATTCGACATAACGTGCTTGTTTGTTTAGCGAGCACTGCATAGTGGACATTGTGCAGTGGACGATTTACCCCACCTGATCAGGTTTGCATTTGTCGGGAATTGTTGCACTAGACATTTTCTGACGAACTTAAAGAGAACCTCCGGAAGGCATGTAGTGTATCGCGACCAGTGAGCAGCTGGAATGTGTTCCTGAATTGCCTTGAATATTGTTCTTTGGCACTGGAGGGATGTCAAGTGATCAAGTCTGTTGTCGTACCTTTAGTTCTTTGAGCGTCAGTTTGATGTCGGTCGAGTTAGGAAGCATGTTATCAATTTTGATGAAATTGTTGTGCGATTCTCTCCACAAACATTTTAGTTCTTCATTGCCGTTAGATTTTAATTAATTGCAAAGTTTAATCCTTAAAGATTCGGCGTAATGTTGGAGAGTTCTTACGTTCAATCCACCTTGTTTGAAGAGGAGCGATAAGCATTCCAACAAACAACTACTGATTGGCAAAGATAGCCATGCTCTAACCGATTCAATCATCAAGGAGTCAAGACAACTGCCAATCCATGTCAACGAAAAGTCGTATGTCCGGAACTCGAAAGCCAGTTGAGATGGTTTATATCTTCTTAAGATTTGAAGCTTCTACTGGGCTGACGTATCGAGTTCGCTGATTGTTGACAACGAATTTTTTAATTTAGCGATCAGCTGTTTTTCGCTTCTGAGTTGTTTCCCTCAAAATCGTATATTTTTCCAAGATATACAAAATGCCCGCCTATTTCGATTTGGGGAGTGGTTTTGTCGTCGATGGTTAGTTTAGGAAGGAACTGTTCATATACGCCGTTATTTTTTCTCATACCGAAGGATGAGCATTTATCTAATCTCATTTGCATGCCAGTTGCGATGCACCAAGCCCGGTTTATATTGATTAGTTTTTGAGCGCTTTCTGTGCTGTTGGCGATTATTGCTGTATCGTCAGCAAATTCCAGCCATGCTCTAGTCTTCAAGTTGGCTGTTGACCCCATATATAGCCGCATTGTTGATATTCGGGCTTTTCCAGTATTTTCATTAGGGGGTTGAAGCACAAATTAAATAGCAATGGCGAAACAGGATCGCCTTGAAGCCCGCCACGTTTGACCGGGATGGGTGGTGTTAGTACATCGCAACCTGAAACGGATATTGTATAGTTGGCGTATATAAATCTTATTAAGTTGCTGATAATGGGTGGTATGTGATGATGGTCCAAAGTGAATGATATCAGGTTGTGGCTAACCTCACCGAAAGCATTCCGAAGATCCAGCAAAGAGACAATTATTGTTCTTTGATGTCTCTTGGCGTCATTAAGCATATTTGATAAAAGCTGGGTGTGTTCGGTCAGGCCATCCACTTTTGGATAAAACCCTTTTTGAATATTTTTGTTGATAAGATTATTTATTTCTAAAAAGTTGTACATTCTATGGTTTATGATTGATGAAAATACTTTATATAGCGTAGGTTGTAGGGTTATTGGTCTAAAGTTGGCCGGATCGTGAGCGTCACCTTTTTTGTGGATGAGCAATGTGAGACCTTTTTTCCAACATGATGGGATCCTGGAGGTTAACCAACATTGAGTAAAAAGTTTTTGTAGGGTGGTACGTAGTATCGGACATTTTTTTAAGGGAATTACTGAGATTTGATCTAGCGGACAAGGTAAAGATTTTGATTTGTATTTGTGTATTGTTGAACATATTCCGTTGTGGGTAGGAAGATTGATGTTGCATGTTGGTGAGTTTTGTATTCAGTTAGGAAGTTGATATTTTTTGTGGTTGAGGTTGTTTAAGATGTTGCCAAAATATTGTTTGCAATCGATTGCGTTGAATAGTGGGCTCATGCTTTTTGTTGTATTGAATATTCTCTTGCATGACCACCAGAAACGTTGTTTTAATTGAGTAGAGATTGTTGATATTTTTCTTCACGTTTTGAAAGTTTTAATGATAATATCTTAGAGCGAAGAGTTTTTCTGGTGTTGATGATTTGTTTGTCGAAATTGTGATTATTATGACCCAGAACTTTTAGATGTTTAAGTTGTTTTTTCAGTCCTTTAACGGATTTATTTGTGTTGGTGGGTTGATCATTGTGAAGATTAACAGTTCCATAGTTCTGAGCGAAGTATTTATAAATCATGGATTGAAAAGCGTTAGTAAATTCATTGAGGTTATCATAACCCGGAAGGTATTTGAGCAGTAGCTGGAAGAAGATGTTGGCCTCTAACCACTGGGCTGGCGTTTTGGGCAGTTTGACGCCAGGTAGAGTTGATATGATTGTCTCAGCGGAAGGTGGCTTTGGCGATTGAGGGTGGTTTGTTGTCGAAGTTTGGCTGTCGGGTATTGACGGAGATGTTGTATTGCTTTCAGCTTCCGAAACTTCTTGCGATAGTTGTAGCGATTTATGCATTTTGCAAGACCGTTGATGCATAATTAAACCTTTTCTGCCTTTGCAACATTTTCCACAACAACAAGTAATTAAATTATTAGTTTCAATATTAATTGAACCAGTATCAGAAATATTTGAATTGTAAATGCTTGCTGAAATTTTAATATTTAAAACTATCGCCATATTCCTTGAAATTTTGCGAATATATTGAGCCAATTTTAAAACCAATTGATCGATAAAAAACTTGAATTATGTATAAAAACAGTGAGCTGAACCAAAGTTGGCCAGCTCTCTTGCCGTCAACACATAATCTTTCATATAATAATAATAATGTGAACTCTTTTATTATCAAAGCCAAGTAAAATCAAAATAATCAAATAAATAGACAAGCAAAATAAAATATACAAATAAATAAATACAGTTAATTGTTAAAAAGATATGGCTAGTCATCGCTGCTCGTCATTCAAAAATGAGTATAGTGATGATAAAGTAGTATAAAAATTACATATTGTTCACGCATTATTTCTATCGCAATATATGGCATATGATGATGAGATTACATTATTAATTAAGCTATATCTAAATTGATAATAATAATAATAATAATAATAATAATAATAATAATAATAATAATAATAATAATAATAATATCAATAACAATAACAACAACAATAATAATAATAACAATAATGATAATAAAGACAACAATGATAATAACAACAATAATAATAATAAATTGAATTAATTTCGCGCCTCACAATTTTGGCGCTGTTTTTGTCGCCGTTACAACTATAGTTTAAAACATTTTACAATTTTTCGTTGTTAAAATTTTTCATTAGAATTTCATGTTTCTTTTTCGAATTTATTTGTATATATTTTTAATAATATTAAAACTATGACAATACTAATTAATGAATTAATAAATAATGCACTGTCGATGACGGTTTAATGTCAAGGGAAAAGCAAAAAGCAAACACCATTCACGACAGCAACAACAACAAACACATCAACGACATCCGACACAAAACCAATCACAACAACAAACTCTACGACAACCCAGTAATTATTCAAACACTAAACACATAGAGATACATGCATACGCACCCACACTCAAACATACAACATCTTGATAAAAATGTTCAATAACCATTAACAAACACAGAAACACAAGGTGTAAAATTAAAACCTGGCAACAATATCACACCACATAAATTCCCAACACAAACTACACACGCACACACACAAACCCAAACATACAACATCTAGATAATAATCTATATTTATCGGGAACCATCGAGACAAGACAAGACAACAACAACAAGACAACTATCAATCAACAAACTACGTCAACGCTAACCATCCAGTACCAATTTCTTCAACATTAACTCGGAAGCATGATGATTAACCCACTGTACTTTATTTTTATTCGTTCACTACTTCCGTTTAAACATATTCCTTTATTAGTACCTTTAATGTAGACGGAGGTTTGAAAGTTGTGTTCGTTGCAAGTGACAAGAACGTCGAGAAAAGGGAGTTGTTTATCAATTTCATATTCAATGATAAACTTTAATTTGAATTTATTGATTATTTTAATAAATTATCTATTAGATTAGGATCGTTATAAGATACAAAAATCTTGTGTAGATGTTGCGCTTAAGTTCGTGTTCAACAGTAAGAACAGTTCGACTGGTAGTTTTTGTAAATGCTGGTAGAAGACCGAATTTTTACAATATGTAATAAATTCCACCGATTTATTAGTAGTGTTTATCAACTTGATGACGGTTTAGCATCGAAATAGATCTATCTGCAATAATTTTGATAAAATGTTTGTTAATAAAAATAAAGCTTCAATTTTAAACAAACTCAATCTTGTCGATACAAATTTACTAAGACAAAATGAAAAATTCGAATACAAGTTGATAAACACTAATAAATCGGTGGAATTTATTACACACACACACACACACGCACACGCACACGCACACACACACACACATATATATATACTGTTTTCAAGAAAATCAACCACGTTAATACAATTATTATGTTTAGCACTGTTTTCGAAGCCATTAAGGTAGAGAAAGTTACAACGTTTCAATATCTATGGGATGTTCTGGATTGTACTGGAACAGCACTACGATCAAGACTTTATAAATCTGTGATACGTCCGGTGTTGTTATATGGTGCAGAAACATGGCTAATGACAACCAAACTGGAACAACAACTTCAACGAACCGACATGAAAATTCTCCGATGGATGCAACGAATTAGTCTGAAGGACAACATCAAATCCACCGAAATCCTGCGTCGTGCTGGTTTAGATGATATAAAGGACGAATGCCGGCAACACCGTCTGCGGTGGTTTGGTCATGTCAAACGAAGTGGAAACAATGCCATAACTTCTCTTGCAGATGTTGAAGTACCTGGCACAGGTCCCAAAGGCCGTCTAAAGAAGTCCTGGTTGCAAACATTCCCGCAAGACATGAAAGTTCTAAATTTAAATGAAATGGATACAACTGATCGTCTAATTTGGCGCAAAAAGTTGATGGCAAAGAAAACAACGTCCTACCTCGGGAAACCGGGTCTCTCGACGCAAAACGAAGATTGATTGATTGATGGAAAATTGTCAAAGTTTAACAGTAAATAAATATGTTTTTAGTTCTTTTTTTAAATGTTCTAAGAAACAGTCCAGACGATCGCAATGACTGTGGCAAGCTGTTCCACACGATCGGAACTGCAACAGAGATACTCCGTGCATTTATTTCTCGAGCTATTGCTGACCTCAATTAAATTTCTTCAATAATCTGAACGTTTGTCATTTGTTTTTTGCTTTCATGGAAGTTATCCAATTATTACGATGATCATCTGTCGATTCTTTCCATTTTTCTACATGTTTGTTTAGCTTTTTCACAATCATGATCAAACCATGGTGCCATACGCTCACCTCTATCATAGATAACTCAAACATGCACAAATCTATCAACAATACTCTTTAACTCGTTGTTTAACATTGTTAGTTTCTTTTCGACGCCATCACTACAGCATGGTTTAGATACTGGTGAAGTTAAAATAGCACCAATAAATTTTTCCTCATCCATTGCTTTCCATGATCTATATGATTTCATCACTGTTTTCGGGGCTGGCCGAATAATCATTGTTTCTACTTTTATGAAACTGTGATCCGAAATTATTTCACAGGATAGATCTTAGCATTAAGTACTGGAAAGTCATGCGAACCGACAACTAAATCCAATGTACCTTCTAGGATATGTGTAGGAACGTTGAAATGATTTACTAATTGAAATATATCAAATATTTCTTTTAAACGAATAAATTGGGGATCAGCAGTTCTCTCAACATGCAAAATGAAGTCATCAATAAAATCAATAAAATCCCATCCCCATCAATAAAATGTTTGAATTTAAAATTGTTAAGTACTCCAAGATTGAAAATAAAACTGTTATTGGAGCTGAGCCAGGTCTGTACATAGCCAGCAAGATGAATACGCTTTTATTTATTGATAATCTGATTGCGATAGCTTCAAACGTACTAATCAATGGCAGAGTTAACTTTTATATTTGAACTCTTTGAGAAAGTAAACTATTAAACCAACATGACACGGATCATGCTTTCTAATATAATCAACAAACTGAAACCCAGGTGGCTTTGCCAAACCAATTACAAAATTACCATCCAATCCATGCCAAGTCATCACAAATCAACCCAAGAAAAGTATCAACCTTCTTCATAATTGACCTGACGTTAAGTAATCCAAACATAATATTGCCATTTTGATTTCTGTCATCCATGTCATTACTATCGACTACTTCGAATCTTTCTTTGCAAAAAACTAAACTATTTTCCATTTCCCGACCTCCACTTTGGCTCAATATAAAAAACCCTCTTTGCAACTCTCCTCTATTCTCTTGGCATCATCAAGCAATTTTTGCAAGTCGCTCCTTTGTTGAATTATCAGGTCATGACTAAACCGAATATTTTTCAAACTGTCATCTAAAGTTTTCATCCTACTTATGTTTTTGAAGATGAGTTCTTTAATTTTTGCAACGTCAAATTTGAGGAGAATTGGTTTGACAATTTTGTCACTTTTCTTTCCTAATCGTATCACCTTCAAGACACTTATAAGACCAAAAACTTCATCAGTTAAATATTTTTAACTATTTTATGAACCCTGTCATCATCATCAGCACCTTCCTTCAATCCGAATAGCATCATGTTGGCTTCACTCTCCTTTGCCTCGACAACCTTGTTCAGCGTTATTTGAACACTTTTCACATCATCATTGATTGCTTGCACACTTCTATCAACTTCAGATTTGACAACTTCCGAAAAAGATCTGTTCATTTCACGCTTAAAAACCGATATTTCATTGCACAGCTTTGATCCAGAAGCATCATTCGGAATCGAAATATGGCCTTATTTGCAGCATGAATTCGAAAAATAAGTTTATTTTGAATTTTAATAAACTAAACGTTCACCAAAAAACTTTACTGAGAAAAATCGAAAAAACGAACTACAAACATATTAACGCCAAACATTCGGTAGAATTTATAGAATATTGTAAAAATATATGTAAAAATATATATATATGTAAATATGTACGTACATATATGTACAGGTATATATATATATATAATAGATTGAATCTTGTTTTTTTTTTATGGCTCACTATAAATGTGTGGGGTGCGTTCAAGGACCAGTACAAAAAATGATTTCTACAAAATTTTGAATATTTTAAATCACAATTTTACGCTAGCTTTCCATAAATTGTTTAATCTTGTGTAACCGTTAAGCTAGTCTCCACATCCTGCACGTTACCTGTCTACCATGGGCAACGGTCTGTATGTTTAGCGTTATTACGCGAACATGGCGTTTGCTGGTGGCGGTGGTGTGAGAAAAGTTTTTATTTATACAAAAAATGATTTTGTTTACGAAATTGATACAAATACAGTAAACTCTATCTCACCCTCAAAGGTTTTTATTCTACTAAAACTAATTATTAATTTAATTTTTTAAGAATTACGACATTAGAATTTTTAAATGTAACCTGTGTATGTGTATATGTAACGTTACGCCAGTGCTAGAAATAAGTGTGAGACTTACGTTCACCACTGCAAAATTGCACATGTTGCATTGCGGTATGAAAAATAATGGAGATAATGTTTGTAATGGACTTTCAGCTACCTATTTTAGTTGAGAACAAATTAGGTTTAACTAATAATAGGCGGGTTTGCGGTCAATGTCAATTGCTGATTAATTGCGACGTGATAGTCTAATGGTTAAGGGGTTCTGTTTCGCAATCACCGGGTTCAAATATGACAGAAAGATCCCCACCTATCACATGCTTCGTGTGTGATGCATCGTTTATTTCATTTACAGTGTTTGTGCGCTTCATTGAATCTTCTGAACTTTGGAAGAGTGTAATTGACCTTTAATCTTTAACCCATTAGTGCCCAAATCACAACCACGCTACCAAAAAGTATCAAATTTTTCAGTTAGGTAGCTATACCTAATATGAGACCCTAGCACAAGTATTTTTTTGGATTTTATTATTTGTAACAAAATGGCGGCGTGTTCCCAAATGGGAACAATGGGCACATCAACTACCATGTTCCCATTTGGGAACATCTTTTTTTTAACATAGAAATAAATATAGCAGACTTTTAATTATATGGAAAAAATGTAAAACGCAAAGAAAAATGATTTTTTTTAATCAAATGAATTTGTGAAAAAATATAGTTTAGTCAAATTTTATTAGTCATTTATTAAAACTGTTAAATTTATTGTTTTTCGTGATAATCTTTTTCACAGTGAAGATGCAATGGAACATTGCACTTGTTACTGAAGACGTGCATTTTTTTTGCATTGTTGACATCTGGATTGCTTCCCAGATGGAACCAAATGATGACCCGTCATATCGAATCTTACATCAGGAATAGGTTGGCTATAAGGTCCTGTCATCATCTGTGCTGGTTCTTGCAGTTGCATGATTGTACGCACAATATATCTCCTGAAATCTAGATGATCAAAAGTTCCTCCCACTTCAACATGAAGTCGCCAGGCTGCTACGACAGCCATGTTTATTCCATTTATGAACAATGGCCACCACCATTTCTTGGACCTCAACATTGGTCGATAGGAAGCCATAAATCTGTCAAGCAAATCGACTCCTCCCATGTGTGTGTTGTACCTTTTAATGAGTGCTGGTTGAGGTACATCTACAGAGGCTTTCTTGGTGCTGCTCCATCTCCGAGCTTTGTCAAGTGGAAGAATTTTATCATAATTTGATGCAACTATGACACATTGATTATCATTCCACTTGACCGCGATTACGTTTTTGTCACAACATGCATCATAAAATCCTCTGTCTTTCTTTCTCATTGTTTTTGAATCCATCAATGGACACTTTGTCAAACGATTTTCTCTTACTGTCCCTGTTGCTTTTATATTTTTTTCTTTCAGTGAGCTGAGCAAAGAGTAGTTGGTGAAAAAATTGTCAAAGAAAACTTCATGATCAGCAGGATTTTCAAGGCAATCTAACAGTGACATGACTACACGATGACCTAGTCCATGACTTTCATCATTTGTTGTCTGTGGTTCTTTGCCACAGTACACCTGTACATTAAATGGATATCCACTGGATGATGCTAATACTCAAAGTTTATACCCAAAACGAATGGGTTTTCCTCGTAGAAACATTTTTGCTGAGTGATGTCCAAAATAGGGTACCATTTCTTCATCAATACTAAGAAATTTATTGAAAACACCAAATTGTTGGAAACGAGTATTCAATGCAGAAATGAAAGAACGAACTTTAAATAATTTGTCTCCTTGAACAATCTTGTCATTATCTGCCAAATGAATATATCTTTTAATTTCTAGGAATCGTGATCGAGACATCTGTTCTGCCACAAATGTAATTCTTATATCTTCATCCCTATTCCAGTACATTCTTTCCCGAGGCAATGTATGATATCCAGTCAGTAAAAGTATTCCAACAAATTTGTCCAAATCTAGGTGATTAAATTCAAATTTATTATTGTTTTTTTGTCCAGCATATTTGACTGTCTCATTCACTATCATATCCCTCAACTCATTGTCATAATAAAGTTTGAAAAGATGATATGGTGATTTGGAACATAATTCTGGATATTTTGATCTTATTTTTTCTGGTGTTCCTGTTGATGATTTTCCAGTGAAATTTATTTTTTTGGTCCATTTTGGTTCTGGCTTCTTACATTTTTTATCTTTTTTTTGTAATCCAACATCATTACGTGCGTCTGCTTGTTCTAAAAGAACACCAACTCTTCCAGGACTTCATTTGGCATGTTTGATGGCAGCAAATCGTCATCATCTATCATCTCTTCATCTGAATGCTGTCTACCTTCGTAGGAGG